AGTTCTAAAACAAACCTGATCAGGATTCATTTCGTGGATGTAGCTGCGTCAAAATGACTGATATTTGTTCTTAGATCGTGGGATTTATAGTGAGCTGACAGGGGGACGGTGGAGTGTTTACTTGTCGCGATATGACATCCTATGATATCATCACGTGGTTAAGCCAGAGCTTTCATTTCGCCCACTCATTTTGTCCTCGAAGGGACAGAGGTATAGATGGAATTTACATCCTTCGCGTATCATTGACAAGCCCTATACCAAGGCCAAAACATTTGTAAAAATAGGGGTATGCGAATCAATCTCCTCAGAAATGAATATGACAATAGCCTTTGTTTTCCAGCCTTATTTGGGAAAAAAGAATGTAATCGATGTCCTAAGTTCTACGCCAAACTGCTTACCTTAGCCTTAGTTTGCGCATTTTTTTGTGTAAGTGCTGCTCGCAGTGTGCACACATATCATCATCATCATGTGGCAGAGATACACCTTAGAATCACTCCACGCACGTTCCGTTGAGAGTGTAAATAAACATAACAAATCATTGATCAGAGATAACGGCTATAGGAGGGTGTGGATGGTTTTCGACCATATCTCTGCTATTCAAAGACAATGTGCTTGCAGAGTACAAACACTCGTTGTTTTTCATAATTCTCCTGCGATTATCAATGGCATGAGAAAGTAATATACCGTAATTTAAGCGTAAATTCAAATACGACCTGTTAGATTTCTTTTCTTTGAATTCCAGATTAACAATTTCAATGCAGTAGGTGGATAATGCGTTAATGATGTAAGTACGAAGTTTAGGTAGGATTTTTTAAACTTGAAAAAAATTGAAAATGTTTTAAAAAGTCAGCTCACACAATACTTTCAGAATTCAAGGAATCTGACAATTCAGATGGTTTAGGTGGGTAAGTATGCGAAGCTTTCTTACGAAAGGATTGATTAGCTCATTAGCCTGTTGAAAGCAGTTGTAGGCCCATCTAACCAACCACGATCCCCTTTTATGCAATATTGGGACTGGTAATGC